GAGCTGTTTGTAAATGAGTGATGAAGTAAGATATAGTCATAAAAAATCTTTGCTAAATAAAGTTTAATAAGGAGTACTTATAAGAAAATTATGATGTGGACAAAGACAATCATTAACAGGAAAAGAAGCGCCATAATTTTCATAGATTATTTGTTATCTAGCTTGCTAGCTAACATAATTCACAATGAAATAGAAATCTATCATTATGACTAAATGAGGTTGTGTGTTAGGGCTGGTCCACACTGGGGCGAGGGATCGATATAGGAAACGCAACTTCAGCTACGAGAATAGCATAGCTGAAGTCGACGTTTCCTATATCGAACTAAAAGTACTTACTTCGGGTCCATGCGGCGCAGGCAGGGTCCCCCGTCGACAGCGCTTCCTCCTCTCGGCGAGCAGGAGTTCCGCAGTCGACTGGGGAGCACTTCTGGGATCGATCTATCGCGTCCAGATGAGACGCGATAAATCGATCCCAGAAGATCGATCTCTACCCACCGAATCAGGCCGGTAGTGTGGACCAGCTCTTAGAGAAAAACAGATCATGTGATTAGATAGAGAGACAGACAGATAGGATCATTTCTTCTCCTGTCATATATGTAGTAAACAGAACCATGCACAAAGATGGTATTCTAATACTAATAACTTCTGAGATCCTTTGTCAGCTTGGAAGTGAGTAGAGCTATATGGGATACCATATGGAACACCAGATCAGTGCATGCAGCCTTGGCTGGGATAATTTTGTTGGTGTTGGTTCTCTTTGAGCAGGGGATTGGACTAGTTGCCCTTCTGAGGTCTCTTCCAACACTAATATTCTATTATTCTACGTGATGGCACATTTCCACTTACACCAAGGCTAGAACAAAATGACCCCAAACAAGTAACTCACACCAGTGTTTATATCACTACTGAGTTGAGCCCAGAGACTTTGGGTCAGAACCTTATCAGTATAAAATTGATGATGTCAATAGGTCTACTCTATATTGGTGCTGGTTTAGATGAGTTGGGATATCAGACCCTTACATTTCTGTCACACTCACTTTCTACAGGGGTCTGTCAGCCAATTCTGGATCCTTGTGTATATAGGCTAATGGCCAAATCCTAATTTATTTGAAATGAGGGGCTAAACCTCAGTGACTTCAATAGGATCCAAATTTGGCCTCATTATCCCAAGTTAATTTTCTTTAGAAAACACTGGAAAAAGTTTCTCTTCAAAACAGTGTTTGCACCATAGCAAGAATGACACAGCTCTTACATAGAGAAGATGGGTGAGGTAATATCTTTTATTGGACCATCTTCTGTTGGTGAGAGGGACAAGCTTTCGAGCTACACAGAGCTCTTCTTCAGGTTAAAATAAAAGACAGCTACCTGAGGCTCTTTGTCCCCTAACAAATCATTAATAATACAATAATATCCCAACAGTATATACATAATCATTTCAGGAGGAACTTAGCCATGCAGAAACTTCTTCTGCACCCTTTTATCACTGTGGGGAGCAAACCTTCAGCTCACTCAGAAAACCCCATTGTCTCAGGTTGGGTGCAGCAAGTCAGATACTTTATTATCTCTAGCAATTACGTGGAGGGAGAGAGCTAAACAGGTCTCTCATCAGATAAACAATTACAGCAAGCATTTATACCTTTTGTTACAAACAATAATGGGCAACAGCTGCACTTTGTTTATACATAGGTCATCCTGATATTTTATTTTTTTCACCAATTTAAACTATAGTCCACATTTCATTTATTTAACTCAAAGTCGCAACAACTTTTCACACAGTTCTTGCTCATAGATGGGACTGTTTGCATTGAAATCCCCTTTAAATCCCTGTCAGTTTTTTTTCTACTTCCACACCATCAAAGATATGACATATGAGCACTCTCAAGAAAAGGCAAACATTGAAAATCTTGTCTTACCAAACACTCACCATCTCTCCAGGCCTTCCTACCTGCAAACCCACCTGGAACAAAGAAACAAATAAAAACAACAAACAACTAAACAAAAATAAATTAAAAATCTGACAAACAAAAAAAAACCCAAAGAAGAACTGCATTGATACATTGGTCAGAGTTATTATCCTGAAAAATAAGAAGAGCCAGAGAACCCAGTAGGGACTTTCCTATGGCTACTGATTTTAAGTGCAAGATTATCACATAGAATGGTGATGGCTAGCAGTACATAGTAGATTAAATAGATGGATAGATGGATAGATAGATAGATAGATAGATAGATAGATAGATTCCAATCTTAATTGCATTGATGTAAACGTCTAGTAACTACTTTTTTTCTTGACTTAAGTTTGCCTGGATTTTTATTAGTGTAAATACTCAATTCTGCATAAACTGATTGCACAGTATGTTCTCATGAAGGCAATAATGTCAACAGCAGATTATATTTATAAAGAAACACAGAATGAAACTGTGATCAGTGTAGAAATATAGACATTTTATTCTTGCTGAATAACCTCCAACCTATCAGTTTACTCAGTGCACCTTGCATGTCCTTGTTTCTCATGCTGTAGATGATCGGATTCATCATTGGGGGCATTATGGAATATAGAACAGCCACCAAGAGATTCAGATCTGAGGTTGTGTTGGAGGTGGGTTTCAGGAAGGCAAAGGTGGCAGTGAAAAGGAATAAGGAAACCACAATGAGGTGAGGGAGGCAGGTGGAGAAGGCTTTATGCTGGCCCTGCTTAGAGGGAATTCTCAGCACTGTTTTGTAGATCTGAACATACGACACAATTATAAAAGCAAAGCAGATTAACCATAAAGGCACACAAAGAGAAATAAGAACAACTTCACCGAGGTCTGAGTCAGAGCAGGCGAGGTGGAGGAGCTGGGGGATTTCACAGAAGAACTGATCCACCATGTTGCCTCCACAGAAGGATATCGCAAACGTGTTCCCGGTGTGCAATGCAGAGTTGAGAATACCACTGATCCAGGCAATGGCTGCCATTTGGACACAAGCTCTCCTGGTCATCACCATCTCATAGTGCAGTGGTTGGCAGATGGCGATGTATCGGTCATACGCCATGATGGTCAGTAAGGCAAAATTTGCTGAAGCAAAGAATATGTAAAAAAAGACTTGGGCAACACATCCAGAATAAGGAATCGATCTGGTGTTCGTGAGGGAATTGGCCATGGATTTGGGGATGGTGACAGAGATGGAGCCGAAGTCTAGGATGGACAGATTCATCAGGAAGAAATACATTGTTATACCAATAAAATAAAAACCAGCAGGATCTTATTAAGAGGGATAAGGCAAAGATGCCACATTTATTGTAAATATAATGATAAAGCAAAAGATAAAAGTAAACAACGTTGTATCACTACTTATTCCTTATACACACACACACACACATATATATATATAGAGAGAGAGGGAGAGAGATTCATTCACACAATCATTCATTCAAGTTCTGTATAGGTGTTATAGTTACCAGCCTAGAAGTTGCTCATGCCAAGTTACTGGCCAGGTAGCTTGGTCATGAGGATGGAGCAGAGTCTGTGTCAGATGCATCTGATGCTCCTGGAGGCTGGCAGAGAGACTCAAAGTCATCAGTCTTTAGAGTCCATTTTTATAGGAATTAATTCCTATGTTAGTTTATGGGAGCTGTTTCATCCTGCTGTTGCTGACTCAATCAGCAGATGGCACACATTCCTGTCCAAAGTGGCACATTCCTGGTGGCTCCACATTGTCCAAAGTTTGTGTTTCTCATCCTTCCAGGTGATGGGGTGGATCCCAGTTTACCCTCCGGGGGTTTCTGGTTATCCACTTGACACATTCTTCGGCCGATGGATACTTTCTTTCTAGGCTGGCACCTCCCTAACCATCCATGTATA